TTTCCATATCTTTGTCAAACTTGAGAAGTATGTTGTAATAGGATATTAGTAAACAGAGTCTCAGGGAAGTTAAAAGACTTATCCAGAGGTCATAAAACAAGGAGGTAACTGAAGGAACACGTGTGATTTGAGTCTGTATTTTTCCTATTATCCATGATTCTGCTCAGTGAGATATAACCTAGTTGGGTGTAGAGTAAGGGAGGTATGTGTGGCAGTGTACAATGTTTGCAGAATAAATTGATGAATGTAAAACCTGTGTGGACTTTCTAGCACAGCTGATGACCTTACAGGTCACGATTTAGTTTCAGCATATAGGCAAATCGGTACCAAAAAAGTGACTAGGGCTGATTGTCTGCTTACCTATTGATGTTTATAATGGAGACTCCAGAAGTAAACAAGGAGGTCAGCACCTGCTTCTAGTATGGCTAACTAGCTCTTAATGGATGAGGAGTTTCCTGAATATAACTAATGGTCATTTGAAAGCCCAGGAAAATTAACACTGGCAGATAAATTCTGGAGTAGAGAAAGCACCCCGAAAAGGTAAAAGTACAAGGTGAACAACCTGTTTTCAGCTGCTCAGCTAATGCTGGGCTGACACAAATACTGCTTTGAAGGGCATCTAAAAATGCTGCTAGAGAAATCTACTTATTCCTATTGTGAAGAATCAGAAGCAAAGTATCAAGAAAACCACAAGCATTGGAAGGACGGGATGGGGAACATCTTGAATGGAGAGAGCTAAACTCTGTACAGGGTTATGTGCTAGCCTCTGAGTCATCAATGCAGAGGACAAACTCCAAATAAAGATGAACGGACTCAAATGAGATTTGAAATGCCACCTAAGACATGGAGATTACTTTGACTCCAGACAACTTAATAGCCCATTATAACCAAATCAATAGCTTTCAGAGAAATATATTAGACAGGAATTTCCACATAAGAAAATTCACAATGTTCAGAATGTAATCCAAATTTTCTGAACCTATGGAGAAAGAATTCATATGATCCTTTATTGATGGAGAACAATCTTGAGAGGACACAAACACTAAAATTAACAGACAGCTGGAGAGATTTGTTAAAGGCTAGGCTCACAACCAAAAATAAAATTAACAATGATTTAAAAGCCTCAAGTACAGCTCTGCTCAGGTATTTAAAATAAAATATACTTTCAATTAATGCAAAGAGAATGAATAATACTAGAAAAAAGAAACAGCAAAACAATAAGAACAAGAAGAATACAACAGAGGAAAAGAAAATTCTAGGATGACCATTAGAATATTTTGGTTGTACTAGATGAGTTCAACAGTTATATGACAATAATAAATGCCACTGAATTTTAAGATACATGAACAGAAATTATCCCATCACAAAACAGATAATAAAATAATTAAAACTATGAACAGAAGCCTAGTGGTGGTGGTACATGCCTTTAATCCAAGCATTTGCAAGGCAGAGGCAGGCAGATCTCTATGAGTTCGAGGCCAGCCTGGTCTACAGAAAGAGTTCCAGGACAGCCATGGTTACACAGAGAAACCCTGTCTTGAAAAACAAAACAACAACAAAAAACTGAACAGAATCTTAAGGACTTTTGAAGATGTATTAAAAGTTCACACATACATGAAATTGGAGTCTCTAATGGACAGAAAACATGGTGAAGAAACAATATCTGAATAAATAATAAATTATGAATTCATGAAACTCAGCAAATCCTGATAGGATAAATACAAAGAAAAACACACTATGGCACATAATAATCAAGCTGCAGAAAAATCTAAGAAAATATTAAAAGGCAACAAATGGAAATGATATATTCCACATCTCATACAGAGAAACAAAATTTAATTGATACTGATTTCTCACCAGGAGATTATGACCAGAAAAGAGAGTGGAAGATTTTCAAAACATGATATGAGGGTGGGGTCAAATAACCTTCAAATCAAAGAAAGATATTTTCAGAAAAATTAAAACTAAGATAATTCATCACAAGAACAGCTTGGACTGTGAGAAAGGCTAGGTGAAGTTTGTGAAACTACCATCAAATGATGCTAGATGGAATTCTGCTCTTCAGAACTTGAGAGGCAGAGGCAGAGGCAGAGGCAGAGGCAGAGAGGCAGAGAGAGAGG